CACTATGTTGAACACTTCTCCTAAAATCGAAGGGTTTGTTTTTGTATCTAATAAGATTACATATATTTGGATCAAATTAAAGGCTTCAGTGCAAAACTAACAGATTTAAAATATAGGCTGCTGTTGACGTACCTAGATAGAGATATTTGAATTTTTCTGTATTTATTACAATTCCGGTATAATAACATCAGAATATGAAAATTATTTACATCCGTTTCATATATTATTAAATGAATATTTTGAGCAGTGTATTTCAACAGTCTTTCTGAGATTTATCGATTATGTTAGGATGATAGTAATTAATTTCGATGTCTTCTAAAACATAAGTAGTATCATAATAGAGAAAGATTAGCTTTAATATATCAAAACTCGTAAATCATATATATTTATGATTTAGCTTTAACCGAAATCAATGGATTGTACACGATACTTTGTGCTAATTTTGTAATGTGTTTACAATTTCTCATTGATGATACATCGTAATGCTATGATTTTGAGCAGACAATATCAGAATAGTGTAACTAATGTCTTTTTGAGATTCATTTTAATCAAACATGTACCACTGGAACAAGATAACTACATGACTTTAGGCTTATCTGTAAATATATTTTTACCATAATACTTCAAAACTATGTCAGACTGGTGACGAAGAGCTTATATTCGAATTTTTGTTTTTTATGAAGGAGATGAAAGATCAACAAGAATAGAGATCAGCAATGACCATTTGACAAGAAAAGATGTGTATATTGATATGAAATTGCCGATATTCTTTGGATTTAAATCAATGTGTTCTCAGAAATACAACTAGCTTCTAGAGATTTGTAGAAGCATCTGGTAAAAAAAAAAGGAGTACTGCTGTCGCCGACGAATCTGTTAACCGATTAAAAAAACCATGCTCAAAAACTCTTTGATAAATTTAGTAGTTCAGTACTAGACAAAAATCTAAAAGCTTCTATTAAAATATTCTAGAAGGCTAAAGGAATAATTAAAATCGAGTTGTCAGTCTAGTTCTCAAACACAATTCGTTGATATTGTTGTAATCAATCATATAATGTTGAATCAGCTTCTGCCGTTTGTATGTATGATGCTATTTCTTGGCCATGTGCATCAACCAATAGTGTTTCCATCTTATCACCAATACCTAGATAGCCGTATAAGAAATTAATAAGTAGACTAGCTTGATACAATTACGTACCCATTGAAATTACACCGTTAAGGACAAGTTTCTGATGTGAAGATGACGCAACAAAACTTTCACTCGATGATATCTGAGCAGCTGCAGCACCTAGCTTCGAATAGACCTTCAACTGAGTACCTGGGTGAAGTCGGAGTCCACCAGGTAGTGTATACTGGAGTACTACCTTTGAATCAACACGTCGTGTTAACTTCCATCTCGAAATATCGATAACTTTACTTGTCGAATGGTTTATCAAACAAATGTGTGTGCTATCGAGAGGACACTCTGTTTATCCAAAAAAAAGAGAAAAAACAATCAATCAGATTCTCTCACTTTTGCTTTTTCAACTCGATGCTTACCGATGTTAATCGATCCTTGATACGTGCTTTCTACAGCAAATGTTCGTGTTGTTGTAGTTCGAACTAGCGAAGAAGAGTTAATCTCTATCTGTCCAAGTAGTTTACTTTCGCCCAATAGATAACGATAAATAATAATTTCAGTCTCTAAGTCGATTTTTCTAGAAATATTGTGTAAGCAGAAATCGAAATCTATGTTTCAATGTGCAACAAATTTTCTTACCTTTGTTGCATTTCTTCGAGACTACTCACCATAGTCATAATGCTTTCCTGTAAATAATGCAGATCCTTTGACTGTGCTTCGAATCGTTCCTCATGTTGAATTTGAATGGCTTGGAATTCGGATTCTAATTTAGCTATAACAAATCAAAAAGAAACGTTTTTTTAAAAGAAGAACTAATAGAAAACGACATGTCACATTCCACTCACAATAAGTTGCTTCGGTTTTCAGTAGAATTTCTTTTTCATAGGAATGTTCCCTTTGTACTTTTTCATATTCGCTCTGAAGTCTCTGTTGAATCCTTAAACTTTCTTCCATTTCAACTTGTTGATAGCGCACGACTTGTTCTGCTTCGATCTGTAGTTCCTTGTTTTTCTTTTCATAATAACAACTTACTTCACGATGAATTGTTGCATATATTTGTTCGAAATCATGGCGTATTTTCTTGATAATGTCTTCCCATTCATGTGTCCAAAATTCAGCGAAATCGGACATTTCCATTGAAAATACATCGAATTTGCTAGAAGCAAAAAGAAAAATTCTTCTATGAATAGAAGAAAACGAGCAATCATTACTCAAAATAGTACATACGAATATAAAGTCTTGCGAAATTCAGCTTGACTCTTGACCATTTGTACAGTGATCTTCGATTCATTTGTTTTTTCCTTGGAAAAAGACCAATCATTGGTCACTCTTATATACTGTTGAAATGTATCTTCACACGCTGCACGAGAAGTTCCAAGTTTCTTTGACACTTCTGCATACGATGTACATAATTTAGCTAGAGTAGATGCAGATTCAATCAATTCTTGTTCTAATTTCAATCGTTTTTCATCAATCCATTGCTTTTCTGCTAGGATCGATTGCTCATACATTCCAAGTTGTAGTTGACAACGTTCGATATTCGACTCGTAGCAAACTTTTTCGTAATTAACTGTCATAAGATCAGCTTGTATACGATTACATTCATCATTCTGTGTACTAGTTGTACTAATAATGAACGATTTTCGTCGCAATTCAGCCAGTTTTGCAGTATATTTTTCGTTTTGTAATTCCAATTGTTGAGCACGACCAACAAGGAGACGCAACTGTTCATTCAATTCAGTTAGTGCATGTTTTTTGTGCTTATGCTCTTCATTGAAATTATTTTTCATCTCTTGAATGTTGACGAACATTGTAGAAAGATGATAAACATCGTGGCTAGAGAGATCTCGAAGAGATCGACATTTGCTAATGGAATTAGCACATTTTGTTTTATTTTCTTTACTAATGGCCAGTGATTCCAAGGACATTTTTGTTCTAAAAGTGTATTAATAAAAGAAAACGTTTAAAAAATGTCAACTGTTCGTCATAACAATGCAATTCAGACAGACAGAGAAAAACTGAAACGTAGGATTATTATAACTCGCTGTCACTATCTCTACTATATGCCATCTGTTTCGTTCTCTTCAAGGTGATCCTACTAGAGGGTTGAGAACAACGACCAAGATAAAACTAACAAAAAACCAGAGAAAACGTTAAAACGAAATTTGTGTCAACATGTTCTCATAGAAGTATATTAACGAAAAGAAACGACATTTCAAACCGATAGCTGCTGTCTCTCATTGTCACTATCGATGTATGATTTCTGTCTTCTTTAATGAAAATCTATACAAGATGAAAGAGAAAGTGGTTAGGTATCAATCAACGCTGAGAAGTTTCTCTGACATATATTATCTTTTTTCAGTATGTTATTGTGAATTAGAAAACGAATGCTTTTAATTAGTATTTGACCATTCGTATACGCAGGATTGTTTCCATATTTGGCAGAATTGACGCAGAGCTCTATGAAAGACTCGACAACAGCTGATGATGCAAGGTCTAACTGTGTCATTAGTGCTTTCCTCTGTTTTACCTCATTGATCCTTTCAGCTATTTCATCATCGTGACGCTTTACTTGACCTCATACTAAAAATGACGATACAGCGACAATTTGTACGCCATCTATGAGCAATATCTGTCAAAGCAGACTTTTCAGCTGGAATTTCAAAAATAAACTGATGATGAGACAGAACTATTTGTAAGCTTTTTATTATAGCTAGATCGGAGAAAAGCCTTCACATTTGTCTCAGATACTAAAAGATCATCAGCCCTACCTATTTTCTGAGGTTTTCTGCCGGAAACCATCCGCATTTTTTGACCAGGGTCATTATCAAGATACCTTCAGAGTGCTAACCAAAAAAAGATATCATACTTCCGCGACTAATAATACTCATAGATTGCGAATAAATTAGCATGATATTAACGTTTTGGAGTGAAAATCAGGATGATATTCGACAAAACCAAAGCTCATCGATTGTAAAGCTATATCTAGTGAGAACTGAAGACAAATAGGTATTGACATTTGAAGCATTAACAGAGCCCTGGTTAACAGTCATGTATCATCAGATAGCCAAAAAGTATTGAAGGAAGTAGATGTGATACATATACAACGTAAGGCCATAGAAAAAGCCACTGTAATTTCTACTGAATTCAGATGTCCAATGTGACTTGAACACTACAAACATAATCGAAAAGCGTTAATTCTTTTATCACTGATTTTGAAAGGAGCAAAGAGCTCATTTTGTAGCTATAAACTTCAAAACTCATTACAAAAAGCTGGTCTAAGAAAGTTTTAACTCGAAAATGATTGACATATTTATTTCTAAAGTTAAATACAAAGTCATTTAGATCTAACGTAAGATGCAACTTACTGAAAGATATTTCAGTCCGATTCTAGCTACAATAACCTCACTGACAATTGAGACAGATGGCGACGAACAATCCGTTTTCTGGGGTGAATAGACGATCAAGACACTATATCATAGATATGCGCTTATATACGAATATTTTTTTTTCTCTTATCTCAAATATGAAGAGACTAGGCTTAAGAAAACACATTGATCTTTATCGATGTCAATAACAGTTGAAGTATGTGGGATTGATATTATCGTAATTATGTTTGTCAATAGTGAGATAGATGCAATAAAAAGACAGAATATACCCAGATCGAAATTTTGTAACAGTCGTTGACGAACGTATACAAATTTCGATAAAGTCCTTGACGATCGTAAGCGGCTAAAGTGCGGTTGATTACCGTCGTATCTTTGCCGGATGGTTTGTAGGCGCGTTTTGTCGCGAAGGTACTGAAGAAATGAGTGTGTGGTATGAATATGGTACTGAGGGTGAGTGTACATGTGGGTGTGAGTGTTGATTCGCATATGGATATGGCTCATGGATATGGATATGCCTGTGGTTTTGCTTTTGGTGTCTATATGGTTGTAGATGCGAGCGTCGAGTGAATGCTCATGTGTGTATTTGTACAGCTGTAGGCTGTTTGGTTGTGGTATGAGTGTCAAATTGGTAGAGTGTGTGAATGTGAGTGTGGGTATTGATGGATCTCGATGTACACGCGGGTGCGGGATGTGGTTGTATCTGTGACTACCTGTCCACGTCTGCAATGGGTATTATATGCTTGCAAATGCAGCTGTAGGTTTGTTGGTGCCTGTGCAGATGTGGGTCTGCGTGTGCGTGTCGATCTGGATGGGTGTGGGTGTTCGTGCGGATAATGCTGTGAATATGAGTGTGTGTTGTTTTGACTGCTAACGTAGTTCCTAGTGGGTTGGCGGTATGAATGTTGGCGGCTAAGTACTTGTATGAGTTTCAGTTGGTGGATGAATTTCTGTTGACGTCTTTTGATTAATTACAATAGAGATAGATTTGTCTGGATATTTCAGAACTGATGTCGGCATTTGTCTTTATATGCCAGACCAGTCAATGGGAAACCCGTATTGCGATCACACTGAACTGATTCGTAAGCAATAACGGATTCATCTCTGAACAATACCTATATCCTGATTCTCTCCTTCTCCTACTAACAGCAGACCACTATCCACCCATACACCAATCGGCCTAGCCACTTCCTACCACCGTCCATTGCTACCCAAAATGGGAAATGACAGATGCCGAGACTCTAGTTTTCTTTGAAGTCCTGGAGTCCCTGCTAGTATAAAAATATACGACTGTCCACAGTTTCTTATTGAGAACAAGGAATGACCACAAAATCAATGATAAATTATGTAGACATTCACACAAAAACTATGCAGAGATTACTTAACAAGCTTGTATTCAAAGAAACAAAGTGCTGCTTTATTCCTATCAACCACTTACATATTTGACAAATAATCAATGACATAATATAAAAAAAATAAAAGTTAAAGAAAAAATAAATATATAAACAATCACTCAACGGTTCAAGCATTTAAGAAAATAATCAGTAGACTAGTTTCTTAGAACATAACAACTCAATTAAAAAAATGTTTCGGCAAGATGTCGAAATGTCGAAAAAAAAATGTCGACAGGCAAAACGTCGACAAGAACAAATGTCGACAATGAAAACATCGACCGTGAAAATGTTGATAGAAAAATGTCGATAGAAGAATGTGGGGAATGAAAACGTCGACAGAAATATGTTGAATGCGACGTGTCAATGCAAAGATTGTCGATATGCAAAATATCGACAAAAATGGTCGAAATATCTATCACAATAAAATAGTGATATAGCATACCATCGTGTATTTTCTTTTCTTTTTATGCTTTCTTTCTACAAACGGCCTGGGTATCGAATTTAATGCGTCTTGTTTCTTTCTCTCTCGACTGACGAAATTCTCTCTTTTCTCTAATAACCGTCATTTGTGTGCACATCATCATACTAGTACAATCGACATATCATTTCACTTCATTCGTCTAACGTGATTAGCGTCTCGTATTTTTTTTCATGTCGAACACTCCTATTCTTAACTTTTGACCAGCAACAAACACAAGCCGATCTTGATCTGTGATGGATTCATAAATCAACTAAACAAAACTCGACCAAAGATCAAGTATTGGCGTTGTAAGGATCGAATGTACTCGGCTTATATCCATACCAATAACAATGATCAGTACATAGGGAAGTCAGGCGATCACGACTCTCACTTGTCCATACCTGAAAATATCGAAGTGACTGTGTTTAAAGAGAAATTAAAAGAAAGGATCTTAAAAGAAACGACTGCAATCGGAAGAATCTACGATAATGAATTGGCTTCGGCTAACCTTAGTGAAGCTACTCTCGCTCTGGTTCCTTCGGGAGGCAAAGCAAGGGAGTGTTCTTATTTGTTTATTTCTCCTATGTTGCTTTTATTCATACTTTAGAATCATCCCTCAATCGTCGACGGCGACAAACAATACCATCATTACCAAGATCATCAAGCTTTGATGTGCCCGATAACTATTCAATTACAATTGATGATACTCCATTTCTTTTTAATGATTCACTTGTTCGTCAAAAGAGTGTTATTCTGTTCTCAACTCTCGGCAACTACGTATGCTTTTTACAGCTACACATATTATGATCGACGGAATATTTTCTGCCTGCGTACCTCACTTTGATCAAGTGTCCTCTTTACACTGGATCAAATATGGCTACAGTAAGACATTTCTATAGTTTTTCGAAAAGTTATTTAATCGTTCATTGTTTGTTTAAAGATTTTCCGTGTGTCATCGGTTTATTGTCATGTCGAAGTGTTCCAATATACAAACACATCTTCAATCTATTAGACATCGTTGCTCAACGTCTCAATCTCAAATCTCAACCAACACGCATTATGTCTGATTATGAAAAAGCTCTAATCAAAACAGTCGCTTCACATGTAAATGATACGTTTTATATCGGTTCGATCTTACTATATCTTTATTTCTTTTAGTTTTCGACTGCGCAACATTCAGGCTGCTATTTCATTATACTCATTGTCTGTATCGTCAAATTCAGACATTGGGACTGAGCACATTATATAAAAATGCAGGGGCGTACCGAGGAACCTAGACCGGGGGGGGGGGGGGGGGGGGGGCGCAAACCAGAAAATCAATGCTAATTTCCAAAAGCAGGGGGACGTTACGCCCCACGCCCTTCCCCCTCCGGTCGGTACGCCCCTGTAAAAATGATAAAGAAATACGACCTTTGTGCAGACAGCTAATGGCATTACCATTATTACATGTACAAGACATTGAACAAACTCATGAAGAGCTAAATGAACAAATTCTGGTAGAATTAGAACCGCTCTTCGAATATTTTGAGAAGTGGTGGGTGAAACAAGTACATCTTTGTCTTTGGAATGTTTCTAATCTCAAGTCAAGAACAAATAATAATGTTGAATGTAGAGCTTATATTGGCCTTTCTTATTTCATAACTTTATTTGTTTTATTGGAGCTTGGCATTGTCGATTCAACAAGAGAATCAAACAAAAAAACATCCATATATCGGAGCCTTCATCAACACAGTGAAGAGTGAAGAAGTTCATTTTAAACAACAACTTATCCATGCTAATTCGGGCAAATTAAAGAAAAATTCACAGAAAACATGTTTGATGCAAGATAAACTCGATCAACTGTGCTAGCACTACGATGAAGGAGTACTGCAACTGCCCGAATATCATTATCAATTGTCCTTACTAGTTGGTACGAAATCGAAATAATTTAATACATATGCGCTGGTGCATAAAATAAATATATGACTTTTATTAATTATTTTCCGCATTCATGTATGTTCTTCTTCTATTATTGTGTATTATTGAATTGAACTTGGTCAATCATAAATATAATTTGGTCACAGTTCAGTTTTGTTTTTCTTTTTAATCGTTGACATTTTTTTTCCATCGACATTTTGCTCCTTCGACATTTTTTTTGGTCGACACTTTCCTTTTCGACATTTGTCTGTCGACATATTTTTGTCGACATTTTGCTACTTTTCCAATGTTTCTAGATGATATTAGTATCAAAGAAACAACAGAAAGAGCACGAAATCCGACAATATTCCTTATGTAAATCGTATTTTCTTCTTGGTTTTATTGTTGCTTTTTCTGAATCAAATGAAGAATATATTACATAAATATATACACCACTTGATCGTGGAATACTGATTCGAGAATATTATCAAACTAACTCATTTTACACTTTAAAACTATGGTTTACTTCAATTGATAGATCTTTATCGTGAAATATATATATGTTCAATCGTTGCAGTCCATCAACTGAAACATCATTCCAAGTCCTATTTTATTGTCAGTATAGGTATTGATAGTACAGACACAGCGAATAATATATTACGAAGATGATATTATATATTCAATCAATGTTTGCAAAGTAATAAATGGATAATTAGTATTTCTACTAGTGAGACAATAGTTAAATATTATTAATTCAGATATTATTGAAGAGAGACTTTTTTTTATAGATTCTGATCTAAAGCATCTATATGCGATGCATCTGATGAGTGTTTCTTTCGGATCTATTCCTAATTTTCAAGTCCATTAGCATTCACAAGCTTTTCGTATATAAATAACATCATGTTGACCTCGGGTTGATCTACGTCAACAACAATTATTATTATTTTTTCCAGATGTAATATAATTGACTACTAAATGGCGTAATCGTTTATTATCGTTGGTAGCTAAACTACGTCTTGATATACAATTTATATTGATCACTCATTTACATGATATTGACGCATATACCAACTTTGATCATGGTTTAATACGAGTCAACATTAACTCTAAAGATCATCAAAATTTAAGCTCCTGCTTGAAATTAACATATAATGAGCCATTTCAAATTTCGAATGATAGTGTTTAATCTCCAAGAACCGTGATCTATCTTCAGATGTTAAAAATGATGATAATGCTGTATGTTAAAACAAAACAATTGCTACTGAGCCTAAGTAGGTATATCAATCATATTTATACATTGAGAACGGAAACATCTTCATTCAAGAAATGTTACATTTAATAAAATTCAATTTTTGGACTATGGCCTGCTTGATGTGTGATTTTTCTATGTCGATTATGGTTCACGTGAGTCAAATTCAAAACAGTGAATGCGACGCAAACAACACAAAACAATAAAAGCAGAAATACTATTATGAAACCAGCATGTATGTGGATCGAAATGAAAACACATCATTTATTTTATTTTATTTTACTTGTCAAACCAAAAAATTTACCACCACATGTATTGACTATTCATATTTTCAAGTCGCAACCTTAAGAATCAACTTTTAGAAACGTGCGAACATTAAGTGCAGGTTATTCAACTATTACCAATGTCTAAAATTTTTGATTGCTGAATGATATTAAATGGAAATAATCACATAATGAATCAGTTCACAATTTGATCTTTTCGGTTCATTACAAACATCGAAATGATTGTCAATCATCATCTTCGTCAACACAAAATGAGACTGATCAAATACATATTGAATAAGTTATTGTCAATGAATATGATAAAGCTACAGATATCTTTGATGACTGAGAAATATTGAATTTATCATAAAAACAATGTGTTCTTGGTTTAAACTCAATAAGTAAATATCTGTTTGGACAATTAAATACAAATTCAAAGATGTACAACTACTCCTCTGAAGTAGCTTCCATGGACGATGAAGACTAAAAATCCTGCGAATAATGATGATGAAGTAATGAGTAATTTCAACAATGATGTTGACAATAATGATAGATTTCCTTCGAACAATAATCACATCAATGAAGACGAGCAAGATGCGCCATGTGTCAAAAGCCGGTGTTTTACTGATCTGGTTACCAGCTCCCATCATTGCAATTAACCGTAGTAAATCACTACTTTTACCCCGTCTACCGCCATTAATCATCAATCTTACCGGTTAACCGATGACTTTTGCCGGTGAACTGCGGCAAACCGTCGACTTTAACAATTTTAAATGTCGTTGCTGTGCAGTCTCCTATGTGATAAAAACCAGCAAAAAATAGCGGGTCACCAGTTCTCATTGCAGCATTTAACCGTGATATACCACCAGTTTTGAGGAATACCGCAGTTTGCCGCTAAAAATGATCCTGTTTTTGCGACATGAGACTACTCCAAAGCTCATCAGGACTGCAAAAAAAAGGACTTTTATAGAGTAAAAGTATTCAATAAATTAAAACATCCCATGCAACATTCTTATTATTAGTGTCAATTAATCATGATACAAAGTATGTACGAAAACAATCTGCTTGTTAGTTATCAACAGGCGAAAAAAGTAAACTTTTACATGACAGATTACCGTGTGTAATACAGACTTATAAAACGAAATGTATTTTTCTTTATATAATAGTTATTTGCTTTTCTTTTTCAATAAGCAGCAGTTTGTTTAATTTAAAGTTGTAAAATTAGTGAGTATATCTCACGGAGATAATAGAAAATAGTGTGCGCTCACCTAAAAACCAAAGTTAATAGTTATAATACTTGTTGTCATTATTGATAGAAAAAAAATCATGGCGCAGTAATTTTTGATTTTTATGGTGAACTTTAGCAGAGCTATGGAGGACTTCATGAAACTTTAAAGGACTACAAAGGAGTTCGAGTGGTTCCAATGGATTCAGAAAGACTCCAGTGGATTCTGAGGGATTCCCAAGGGTTGAAGTCTGCCGTTTTCTCCTTGTTTATTAGACTTATGTTGACACTGAACAAATTTGTGACACAAGTTCCTTGCTCACAAAATATGCATAGCGCTTCTCCAAAAACAATTGCATAAACAGCCTTAGCCTTTCGCTGTCATATCCGTGAACAAATATTTTGCTATTATATTGATCATGCATATATAATACTTGACATATGTCAGAAAATGTTTGTTTTTATTCGCAAGTGTATATGACCAACAACAAAATAAATGAATCAATGACTAGCAAGTACGTTAGCAAAATGATACAATTCGTCTTTCGGTTCATAAACACCTAATTCTGTCCCACATTCACTGCATAATACAGGTCTTAATATATCGTCTTTAATTTCTTGTTCTTCTTTATCATTTACAGAATCAGGATTATCTGTTTTAAATCGTTTATTACTATTCTTTTTCTTTTGTTTCAACGATTTTTGACTGCTAACCGTCGATACACGAGCAATACGATTTTCATCAATTGTACAATTAAAGACAAACATTGCTCGATATTGATTTCGATTTGTTTCATGTCTATTCAAACAAGAATTGAAGATTAGAAAAGAATAATTGAAAATCTTTTAGATTACCTTTGACAATCGTGACAAACTAATACCATACAACCTGGACAATTAAGAACTGCATCAGTTGGTCCAAGTGATGATGCATCTGGTTTTTGTGTGATGTTAGCTCCTCGAGATCTAAACAGAGTAATTTCTAAACAAAAATAAAGAGAAAACAAAAATGAATCTACTTGAGACGTTCGTTTGTCATCCATTTTTCATCTTCTTCTTCTTCATCAGGATCATAAAGAAGATCATCATTAATCTTTTCTTGATCATCCTTATTCACTACTGATTGATCTAGAAGATTGCTTGATTGATACAAAAAAAATTGTTTTATAAGATAAGTCTCTTACTTTTTTCATCGTTTTCATCATCACTATGATCGTCATTTTGTTCATTAACTATAATTTTCTTTTCTTGTTGTGTTTTCTGAGCTAAATCATAAACAAAAGGAAAGTTTACTTCATAAAAATAAAATAAAAAGAGAAAGCTCACTAGATATTGGTAAGTCAAATGATCCACGTGAAATAAAATTATGATAAATTTGATCTAATTCATCTTCCATTTCATTAGCAAATGCATTTGAAGTAGTAGATGTCGATAAAGAATTTTTATTTTTCGTTCCATGAGACATTGTCTTTTCGATGTATTCACGTAGTGGTCGATCAAATTCATCATCGGAACTAAAGAAATATTACGTAGTTTGTTTTTTTTTCAAATAAAAGTTTATAAAGTATTGAAACTTATTCACCTGCCCGAGCCAACATCACCCTGAGTTATTGCGCTACTGCAAGGGATTTCGTCATCATCATCACTCGGTTCATTATCAACTTCATAACCAGTATAATATTTAAAACGTTGATCAGTCATTTGATCTAAAACAATATATAAATTATATTTAATTTCAATAGTTAATTTTAATTCTTTTAAAAAAAATGCTTGATAGCCGTTTTGACACTAGGGAAATGAGTTAAATTTGAATTTTTAGTAAACATTTTCTTTTTCCTTGAAAAAGTCAACTGTATGAATCATGAAATAAATTGATTGAGCAATAAAGAAATCCAATAAATCGTTTGCCTAATACGACATCTATAGATTAAAATGAATTCATAAGTTGATGGAAGAGATATATTATCTATTTTCAAATTAAATCGAAAATAGATAGAAGAAACTCGTTTCACGATCTATATAAAGAAGACATCAATTAACATAATAACATAACTCCATGTTCCGTTTGTTGACAGCCAACACTTAATATTCTTTTATGCCTTTTTAACATCGAATTGACTCATGTAGGACGATTCTTTTGCTCGATACCACGAAAGAATCAATCAGTGTATCATCAATATGAACATTTTCAAAGAAAGTAGAATTAACAAAACAATTTCATTACCATTATTAATGACAAAAGAGAAACAAAATTTAATCAAAGATAAAATAATTTATTTTATAGAAAAAAGATAAATATGTATGTACTGATTTCTTTCTTTTAGTTCATCAAATATTCTTGTTATTATTGTCCATTCGAAATAGGATTAAACGGTTGATCCGAATATTTCCATTTTGAACCATCATATTCAGCAACAAACATTGCTAATGGTGGATATGTGGACACAGTACGATAAAAAGTGTCCATATTTGGCTTTAATCGTTTTATTGCACTAGTCAAAGCTAGTAAACCTGGTGCATGTGTAACAATAAGTACTGTACCACCATAAATTCCATATCTATCAATAATTTCACGCATAACAACAACACTTCTTTCAAAATATTCATCTAATGTTTCTGGTACAGTTACTTTTGGAATTATTGGTTTATATTCACGCTTAATATTATATCTATTTGCTATTAATTCTTTTTTCGTCATAAAACTATCGACTAGTTTATAATTAAAATGAGGACATTCGAATAGGCCAGGTTCAATACGAATTGGAATATGATCACGACGTTCCATACCTATATGAAGAATTATCAAGGAATATTTGATGAAGAAAAACAAATGACATTGCAATATACCTGTTAGAATACGTTCGCATGTTTGTACACAACGAAGAGCCGTTGATGAAAGACAGATGTCAACTACAAGATTATGATTCATTAGAACACGTCCAGTAAGACGAGCAGTTTTTAAACCACGAACTATAATAAATAATATAACTTGCTAAATTTTGAAAAGCAGAGGATAAATCTGTTGACCTGTTAATGGTACATCAAATTCATACGCTTGATTAAAACGTCTTTTTGGCAACAAAAGTGGTAAATTTGGATCGTAAGCTTTATATGTATGTGTACGAAAAGCTTTACTAAACCAATCTGGACCAAGTGCTTGATTGGCTCGTTCACCATGACGGACAAAAATGATTCTGAATGGTCTAACTGAAGGTGTAGCAGCAAGCAGTCTACCACGTTCTGGTGGTACACTTAAACGAATACCATGTGCTCTATGGTTTTCACTCGGAATAGATGAGTGATGAACCCGATGGCGTCTATTATTGTCGTAGTTCAAATCTTCATCTCTATCATAATCATTTTGAGTACTCGGAAGAGATGAATGAGCAGTAAGATGAGCTTTGTCTGATAATCGATATTGAAGTGAAACAACTGGCACTTGTTTTGATGACTGTTTCAGTGATTGTCGTATAGGTAATCTTGGTGATACCAAAAATTCATAATTACCACTATTATGAAGATGATGTTTTGATGTATTCCTAGATATTCCCAGTGCGCCGTCAGTATCATAAGATGTATCTGAATGTATAGCATGAGATAATGATTTTGAAGTATGAACAGGTGTTAATGATGATGCATCATAATACTGATTTATTGATTGTTGATGTAAATGTTGATGTTGGTAATTACTATTATTATCCGATATTTTTCGTGAAAGTAAACGTGAATGTAACGAATGAATATTACTTGAATTATTATTGTAATCATGAATACTATTATTAGTCGAGTTCCGCTCACGAAGCATTACTTCATTTGAGTTATCGATCATTTTTGTCTGTCTGACGATACTATTGACACAGACTGGTCAAAAATGAAAAGGAATGACACCTTTTTTCCTCTACTCAGTGTAAGGCTGTAGTTTATGTATATATATGCGTCACAGTTCACTGCTTCTTGTAGCATTCGTTGTAAAATTATGTAAATGTTAGTAATATGATATACAAACACAACAACAAGGTGATATCAAAGAACGAAAGGGCAATCATAAATGCGTAAAAAAACAAGATGTTCTAATCAACTAGAAAATACAGAAAAAATAATTTGTGAAAAAAGAAATTGCACTATTCATTTGATTGAAAACAACGGCTGCTTCTTAATTGCGGACAAAATTTCAGCCCTCACCCACACTGTCGGCATGCTAATTGGTTTGATTTTCGTCCGCAATCAAGAAGACACGGAAACAACAAATTAAAATAGTATGTGATAATAATTAGACGATCTTTTCTGAAAACAAAACTGCAAATAACTGCTGCCCTCTGACTCACTCATGACTCATATTGACTCAAGAAAATTTTTCTCTTCTGTCTTATCCGTGAGTATTTCACAATTCTACATCAAATTGATATAATACTTGCTTTTGGTACGATTTCATTGTTCGGAATTTCTCATGTCAGCATCATCATCTAAAACATTTAAACGTAAGAAAGAATCACGGTCTTCTGATCATGATAGTCAAATTGATGTAAAACAAGATGCTCATTGTCAGCCGAAACTACTCGGAGAAGGAGATAGTAGGTATGAAGAGCAGTTATTCTCTCCGAATGCATCAATTGAAATTTTAAAAGAACTTGATGAACAGATTGTTTATTTGCCTCGTGAACAATTTAAATTTAAAATTTTTAATACTGTTAATCTTTTACCACGTGATAAGGCTTTTTATGGTGACGTGTATTCAGATGGTAGTTGTAAGTATTTAAATTAATTCTTTTTAAAATTTTTCTATATCTTTATATAGATCCACTCTTTCGATACGAATCACAAAAAGATATTATTTATCCAGAAGTAAAATCATGGCCACCTGTACTTAAAAGATTGCGAGATATGATATTTGAACTAACTGGTCAAAGATGTAATCATTGTGTTGTTAATCAATATCGAGGTAATTACAAATTTTATTAGATAATTCCAGATCGATCTATCTTCTTATTGACAGATAACAATGATCATATTGGATATCATTTTGATAAAACTCGTGATTTTGTAAATGATTCTAATGTATTAGTACTTTCATTTGGTGGCGAACGACTTTTACGTTTAAAACATAATGAAAGCAAGATCACAGAAGATATTCACTTGAAATCAGGTTCACTTTTTGTTCTTGGATGGAAAACGAATTCAATTTGGAAACATTCTATTGTTAAAACACAACGTCCGTGTGATCGACGTGTTAGTCTTACTTATCGTCTGATTAAAACTATCTTACATAAAGATGGAACACTTACTGAAACCAATGGTTCTGATATTATAATAGAAAAAACTACTCAAAATGATTCGGATGTAATTGAGCATGAAACAAAAAAGATAAAAGTACATGAAAAAAGTGACTGATATATTTTTTTATATTTTTATTAACCTTGATTAACATATATTGGATGATTGTCATTGTGTTTGAAAAAAATAAAATTTCTATCAGTGCTTGATTCATTCGTTTGTTTGACCGATCGGAAGTTTCAATGATGATGCTTTGAAAATCTGGATTTTTCGAAGACATCTATCATGATTATTGTTTGGAGTATTATCTATACTAGACATGACATCTTACAGTGGATGTCGCTTTTGGCACATCCATGAATTTTTCATCAAATCTAATGAAAGAACTGTTTCGGAGAAAGAAAAACGGTCATTTAGTAAAAAGCAGACGCCACCTTACAACAAATAGAAAGTTATTTTTAGTTGTAACAAAATGGTATACGATAGTCGTCGTGTATTTAGCTTTTTTTCTCTCTGGCAATTAAACAATGAAGACGTCAATGGTGCAGTAATATTTACTGGCATTGTATTAATTATTCTTGTTCTCATTATTATATTAATTTGTGAACGTTGTCATAAAATATCTTGTTGTTGATATTATCAACAACAATTTTATGAAACAAGAGGGTATGCTTACATATTGTTGACACAGTTTTTTATTAATTTTTATCCGTATTTAGAATATGTACTGATTTATCGATATGATTAATTACAATCATCATTTATATGAGTAACATATCCTTTTAAAATTATGTTAAAATCGAAAGAAATGTAAATATACTATCAAGCAAATCCATGAATAGTTAGCTCACATTTTGTTAATCTTATTTAATCGTATATAATATTTATACTCAATGATTATTTGTATTTTTGACACTGATTGCTTGTTCTACGTTATTTTTTAAATAAAGTCTGGAGAAATTTTAAAAAAAAGAGTTTAAACTTAACTTATCTGTTGTATGCAATGACAAATTGAATAATTGAATAATTGAAGCTGATTGATATTAACTATTATATGTCTGTGGCGGTTGTTGATTTTATCAGGTTATCTGATGAAGATCAATATTGGTACTTTCGTCCCTTAAGTAATAAAACTATTAATATCTGTAAGATAAAAAGCAACGTATGTATTATATGCTGATATATTTGTCGATTGAACGAAAAAAACTTAATAATATTGATGAGTTTTGTAGATCCATCAATTGTATGATCTTTTTATAGAAAAAGATTGCCTTGAAATCGGTTTGCAGTTTTTACAAAAAACCATCGTTGTGGATACAGGTAGAGTATAATGGATAGGATAAAAGCTTTGAGATAAAATATTTTCTTCATTTTTGTCTCCCTTGGAAGTGTTTCTGAGCAGTCAAAAGCTATGGCTTAGGACCAGCATTTTGTGTTTTTCGAATACGACCTTGCCAATTTTATTTCAGTTTTTGCTCGAATGTAGTGAGGTAATCTGTGAAAAACTCAAAAAATAAGTTTGAACTGAATGTCAGATACGAAGTTTCTACTGTAAATAGTTGTTCATTTTCATCTGCTAGAAAAGTGTTGCAGACAAGTCAAAAACTTGAAATGTGGTCATCAGAGTTTTGTGCTCTCTTTTGAATATGGAATTAGAAATACTATGTCTATTTTTTGGTCGAGACTAGTGATGAAAGTTCTCAAATGCCCTAAAAAATTATATTGAATAGTGCAACAATAGGATTTTACTAGTCTCTATAAGTTTCCTTTTCGAAGAAGTCAAGAAATATTGAAATCGATTGTTTTTTCGAACAAATACTTCTTCATAGAATGTTATATTGAACTAAGCTAAGACGTTTACCTAAGTGAAGCTATAAATAGTTTACCAAGAGCTTCTTTCTATATGCAACATCTTTTGGATAGAAGTCAAATTGTCTAAAATTGAGGATTCAAAAGAAAAAAAAAATTGAAGTGATTCGTAGAAAAATTTCAATAGTATATTTTGTAGGGTAGCTTCTGTTCTATAAATTGATATATTAAAAAAAGTGTCAAAATTTACTTGCAAGTCGCAATGGTGACAGTAAAGAAGTATACAGAAAAATTGTCTATCGAAAGCTTCTTTTTTGAATCTTTTCAATGATTATCTCATTAGTCTCAAGAAAAATTTGAAAGCAAATTTCTAATCCTACAGTGGTAATCACTTTCGAGGAGTCAAAACTAAAGAAACATTCTGTCTCAAAACTTTCGGTGCATCGTTTATCATGACAATCTAAAAAATCTTTTATACACAAACTGACGATAGTGATAGCATCAGTTATAATCTAAATACTATGTAGCTATAAATATATACATACATTTCAGAGATCTTGACATTAGCCAATTGGCTCAAACAAGTTTCATACCAGTCGAAAATTTTAAAAAGTATGAGGAAATATCCAAATATGAGTTCCGAATGAAATGGTGAAAATGAAATATATTCGTACATTTGTTTAACCAAGTAAAATGCACATATGCACTTGATTTTTCAGAAGCAAAGTATATAGTTATGAAGTTTGTGGCATAGTGCAGAAAAATAAACCAGTATTCATTTTGTTATCTGATCAAAAATGTAAAACAAATGCATATGGTTAAATAAATGACAAATATACCTGCAATTACTTCGTAATCAAAAACCAGCAGAAAAATATTTGAGAAGAAAGCATCGAATATTCTATTTCAGTAGAAATACATGAAAAATCAAGATTTTACTACTCGATGAAGAAGCAAGATCAGAAAAAAAATCAATCAAAATTGTTATTTTATATTTTTCTTCTTCATTATGCATATCTACATGACCATTAAAAAACGATATTGAACAATTATTTTTAGATTCAATCCATTACAATTGTTCATTTTGACTGGAATCACTTCCAGCAACGTCACTTTCACTTCACAATTCATATAATTTTATTGAAGTTTTACTCATTTGAAATATAGAAATGAAAGGGTTCATTAACAAAGTCACAAAAAAGTTGAATTAATAATCATCTATTTGTGTATTTCAAACATAAAATAAGAGAGGGATATCAGTAGAAAGGAAAAACAGGAACATCAATCCAATTGTAAAGTTAATCAAAAGACATTGTGCTGTTTACGCTGTTGTTCATGCACAAAGATGCAAATAAAAAAAACCGAGCTTATGATGAATGTGCCAAAAGCTTCATATATTTTAGATCTTCTTAGTACATTTGCTATTCGGAATTTCATAAAGAAGAAATTATGGAAAATGAATTGTTGCACGGAGCGTCATCTATTGGTTAAGATCATTGTATTTTCTACGACAGCTGAAATATTTATTTGTCAGAAAAGTTCATCTATTTAAACAAATAATAAATAAAGAACCATTTAATTCTTTACATGTCTAACAAATCTAAAGCTCTTTGTTTAATCAACCAATGATAATACATACAAAATTAGCTCTCGAGAGCAATCAGATAAAAATCTTTTGCTTATTTGTTTTGGTCTGCTATTAAAATCATATTGTGTATATTATAAAACTTTTCCATCATGTCACAAATC